GCCACAAAAAGATATGAAGGAACCTTAAATGCATATTGCTAAGTGAAAGACGCATCTAAGAAGGCTACGTACTGTATGATTTTTAACTATATGACATTCTGGAAAAGGTCAAACTATAGAAATAGAAAAAAAGATCAGTGGTTGCCAGGGGGTTAGAGGGAGTGGGGGAATGGATGACTAGGTGGAACACAGGGCATTTTTAGGGCAGTGAAACCCTTCTTATGATAGTGTCATGGTGCATACATGATGTTACATACATACAAAAAAAATGAACTCAATGTGAACTATGGATTTAGTAATAATGTATTAATATTGGGTCATCAGTAGGGACTACAAAACCACAGAATGCAAGATGTTAATCTTAGGGGGAACTGTACAGTGGGTGAGGGTGTGGAGCAGGTGGTATATTAGAACTGTACTTTCTGTGCATTTTTTATAAGCCTAAAAGTGCTCTAAAAATAAAGTTTATTACGTGGGGAAAAATGACTGTTGCAATAAGGGCAATAGGGAGATGGCTCTGATCATAAAGTCTGCAAATGTCTCAAGGATTAGTCCGAAAAGCGCTTTTCTTTTCTGTGGAGTCAACAAGGCTAGAAAGAGCTGCGTGTGGGCAAGGAGGGTTATGGTTGGCCAGATCCAACAGCTGAGCAGGAAATATTTTCCCTTGTCCTCAGCGAGATTTTGAGAGGGACTGTTTGGCATTCCAGTGTGTGTTTGATCCGAGGGGTGAGCTAGATTTCAGGGTCCGGGAGGCAGGGGAGGGACGACTTCATGTGTTTCTGGAGACAGGATTCACCATACCACGCTATGAAGCCGTAGAAAAAATGATTGACTTCATGATGTCAGCAAATTCATTCTGTCAGGTTTGAGACCAGCAGAGAGGGATTGGATTTGCCAATGATTGCCGTTTGCTCAGTGGATAGAGTGTGGGCCCTCGGACTGAAAGGTCCCGGGTTTGATTCTGCTCAAGGCACATGCCTAGGTTGTGGGCTCAATCCCCAGTAGGGGGCGTTCAGGAGGCAGTCAATCAATGATTCTCTCTCATCATTGATGTTTCTATCTCTCCCTTTCCCTTCCTCTCTGAAATCAATAAATCAATACACACACACACACACACTCATATATGGACCTGCCAATGGTTTATCAATACTGCATGATAAGCCTCAATCACCTGGCTGCCTCTGGGAGCCACAGTTTTCTTTGTGCTTTGCTGCTGCTGGAAGAAAAGCAGCTGACTCTTGAAATCTGGAATTCACAGGTCCTGACTGCCTGGCCCTGACTCCAAGCTGAAACCTGGGTGGGGCCGACTGCTGCTGGGCTGTTTCAGCCCTGGCTTGCCCTGTGTTGACCTGAAAGAGGGCTCAGCGAACAGAAGCAGACTCTGGGACATTCCCACTTGTAGGACACCCCTCCATGGGGCCCTGCTTTATAAAAGTACCATGGGTGCCTGCACAACTTCCTGGGTCACGAACAAATGCCCACAGGAAAGGGCATGTCTCTGATTGACCATCTGAAATAGATAGTGGCAGGTCAGCTCTCTCTCTCTCTCTCTCTCTCTCTCTCTTTAATTTTTATTGTAAGGGAGGGAATAAATCTTTTTCCACTGTCCATCTTGGGTTCTTTGATGGGGCCCTGAAAATTAGACTGACAAAAAACAGATTAACAAGAGAAAAACAAACAGAAGTTCAATAACATGTGCATCATGCATATTCATGGAGATATCCAGTAGTGAGTAACTCAGGATTTGGGCTTATATAGCACCTTAACAAAAGGAAAATACATTGGTAGAAAATTGGCAAGACAAAGGATAGGGACTTTAAGCTTCCAGGGGCTGCAAATTGTGGGGAAGTAAATATATGGGGGAAATTAATGGATGGTAAGAGCTAGGAAGACAAGGCTTCCTAGGCTCATTCATAGCCTAGGGTTGTTTGTTATACTCCTTTCAGTACCATCTCCTCTCTGATAATAAGACTGTTATCCCTTCCTGGTATAGGATCTGGCGGCCCGGGCAGGGGCGGGCGGGGGGCGGGGGGGGGGGCGTAAAGCGAGGGGGAGGGGGTGGAGGTAGTGGGGGATGTTTACATGGAGAATTTGTCTTCTGCTTTCAGGCTGAGGGGGCGGGCAGGGAGCTCATCCTGTGCCTGCTTTTTCCGAATGGGCCTCAGGATACAGAGGCTAGTTACGCTGCTGACCAGTGATTCTTGCTGAAGGCTGCAAGTTGGGAGAGGACACATAACAGGGAGCATGACCCTCTCCTCCCACTCCTGACAGATTGAACTCTTGACCCCTCTCCAGACTCTCTCAATGTTGTTGACTTGCTCTTTTCAACTTTTCCAAATAGGTGAGGTCTGAGAGAATGGATTGCTAGCCCGACTCCATGGCCCTCACCTTTGTCCTAGTATGCACACCTTCGTAAGGTGCATAGTCTGATTGTTAAATGCAAGTGACCCCAGAAAACAATCACGCTTCTTTAGGCTCACCACATACATGATCAGGATGGAGGGGTGAGGAGTGATGGAAACCCATTTTGAATTTTTTTTTTTAAATTCAGGACTTTGACTCGTTTGTAAATACAATGCCTCTTTCTGGTTAAGTTGTATAAAATGTTTTCCTGTGAAAACACTTTTGTCTCTCTTGCAAATAGTCTGTCAAAGTTGAAAGGTCTGGGTGAAAGAGAGTGGGGAAAATTGAAAAAAAGTTATGAGTGTTGAATGAGGCGCTTTGATTTGTAACAATGAAGAAAAATAAAAACTCAGCATTTAGGGAGGGGAGGGGAAGGGTGGGGCATTAATGATCTTTGTTTTTCAGAATCATTCCGGGAAGCTTTCCTTTCTTTCCGAAGGAAATCTGACCTTTCCAACTTATGCTAGTGCTTGAATTCAGACTGCTGAGCCAATGAACAAGGGGGACAGCAATGGGGTGGCTGGCTGGGGGCCAGCTCCTGAACATTCCACCCAGAAAACCTGAGATGTCATCTTTACTCCTGAGGCAAATGAACTGGTATCAGGGATGAGCAAATGTTTGGAACTGTCAGGCAGTCCCTCTAAAACCAAGGACTAGACTGATTTTTTTAGACTAGACTGAAACCCCAGGACGGGCAGCCCTACAGTGGAAGGCCACACCTGGGGGGCCTATTAACCTGTCCGGCCTGACGGAGGTATGCCCTGCTTGGGATAACCAAACAATTGTCATTCTGTTTCCAGGGGCACCACGTGTATCTTCTGAGATTGTACTTCTTAGGTGTGTATCTGATGAGCATGGAAGGCAGTCAGGTCAGTCTATTGGTCAGGATTGTGCTGTGCCACCAGGTAAAAGGGATAGAAAAGAAACTCAAGAAGGAAGTGACCTGACAAAAAACAGACTTTATTAATTAAAGCAGTGGTTCTCAACCTTCCTAATGCCGCGACCCTTTAATACAGTTCCTCATGTTGTGGTGACCCCCCATCTCACTGTTACAAATTGAACATAATTAAAGCATAGTGATTAATCACAAAACAATATGTAATCATATATGTGTGTTCCGATGGTCTTAGGCAACCCCTGTGAAAGGGTTGTTTGGCCCCAAAGGGGTCACGACCCACAGGTTGAGAACCGCTGAATTAAGGATCCCTAAAGGGCATAACAGAGGCCAATAACGTAAGGTCTCACCCTGTCATGTGGGATGCTACTGATAACACTTGGACGGCAAAGACACCTTGGCTAAGGACCAAGGGGATGGACGATGCAGATAAGCATTAGGCCAGAGACCATGACCTTAGAAAGGCCTGCTTGCACGGTCGGCCGTTAGCTGGCATCTGGGAACTTCGATGTTTGGAGTGTTCTCACCATTCCCTAACGGAGAAGCATAGTTCTTGTTTGTGCAAATGATGTGGTTAACACTGACATCTGCTTTCCTTCTGGGAGTCTGGGATTTTGTTATGTGCTAAGCACAGGGTCCTTATGTAACTAGTCTCCAATGAAACCATTGGCCATGGAGTCTTTAACAAGCTCACAAGAGTTGTCACAATTTGATGTTGGAGGAATCAAGCAGGTGCTGTATGATCCTACTGGGAGAGACTTTGGGAAGCGTGTGCCTCATTTTCATTATTCTTAGACCCATGCACCTTTTCCCTGTGCTGATTTTGCTCCATATCTTTTTGTTGTCATAAATATTAGCCGTGAATATGACTCTATGTTGAGGTCTATGAATCCTTCTAGTGAAAACCACCAGACCCAGGGACTGTCTTGGGGATTTCTGTTGCTGACTTCTCAGTCTTCTCACTGGAAGAAACAATGCTGCAGCGATTGGGAAATGCTCTCTCAACCTTGTGGAGCAAAGAAAAGACAGGCAAAGACTGGCCAAGTGTGGCTCTCTCTCTAACCTACCCAATTTCTTGTGAGGATTCCCCTTGTAAGACTCTCCTTTCACAAGTGGCATGCCCTTAGGTTCCCAACCCATGGGAGCATGGGCTAGGGACACAGCATCAATACTTAGGCATACCTGGGATAAGAGTCTATCTCCTGGTAGATCCCAGTTGCAGGGAAGTTTCCACATACTTTAGCAGGGGGAAAGGAGCAGGGACATCAAAACTCTTCTGTTTATTATCTCAAATTGGAGTCAGTGTTTCTCCATAACCATGGTGAGTGTGTGTGTGTGTGTGTGTGTGTGTGTGTGTGTGTGTGAGGTAGGGAGGGGGGTCGAGGGGGGGGGGTGGAGACTGAAATGGTATTTAGCAGGGAAGCAATTGCCAAGGTATTCGTGTGTGCACAGCAACCCTGGTCTACAGCAGCAGCTGCGAACTGGGCACTGGCTTGGGTTTGGCTCCTGGGCTGCAGTGAGAGTCATAGTTCCCATAGCCCTAGGATGGGCTGGCTACGGGGTGAGTGTTAGTTCCAAGGAGGAGCTAAAATGGACATGTTGAGAATAGGGTGGCACAGCCGTAGTAAGTACCCACATCCCTAACAAGAGAAACTTGGAGAATTAATATTACTCGTAGTCACACATGCAAACCACACAGTTCTATCCTGAGTAGAAATTTTGACATTTATTGTAGCATTACTAGCAACAATACATACTAGTATTTACTATAGTAACACTATCAAAAATACATATATATACATGGCTGAGGTCAAGCACAACATGGAAGGTAAATTGCAGGGTTAGTCAAAAGCTAGTCTTCTAGGAGGCCCAGAAGGTTAAACAGTAATGGGGTGAGGAGGTGAGATTCTGTTGGTAGGCAGTCTACCAGCTATGACCCTTGGCAAGCAGGGCAGAAACGGGGGATTTCTGGTGAACTGAGTGCAAACTGAGATAATCACATCTCCCAGGGCTGAAGTGCTGTTCCTGGGTGTCATATGTTACAAGACAACTGAGTGTGGCTGGTATAGAACAAGGGAGACAGACATAGACATGAGAAAACAACTCTCTAACCATGTACCGGAAAACCATAAACAAGACCACCTTGCTCATCAAACTCAGATTAGGGAACTCCTGCCTTTCCAACCTTCTCCCTCTCACAACCACCAATCCAGGCTTCCCCCTCTCTGTTCCTTTCACTCCTCTGTGTCAGCTGAGGGATCAGAGAGCTTGCTTAGAGTGGAGCTGCCTGCGCCCTGGCCCACTTCCTCTCTGCCTTCTTCAAGCTCCTCTGCTGGCAGGAAAAAACTGCTTATGCCGGAAGGGCTGTTCCTCAGGAGGTGGCCCAGTTCCTTCTCAAAACATTCAGCTGCTCGCAGCAGATCTCCATTCAGCTTGTGAGTTAATCCTTGGAGATACCAAGAATTCCGTGGAAGCTGCCCTTCAGCTCCATTCGCAGTAGATTTTGTGCTTAAATGATGCTGGACAGGAGTGTCTTCAGACTTCCCATTTTGCTCCTGAGAGTTGGAATAGCCCTGATGCAGTTGTTTTCTCTCCGCCTTATCAAAAGCTGTCTGATAACATTCTTCTGATTCCAGCTCAGTGAGATCAGAATATACATACAGAGGATTCAGTCCCTTCTCGATAGCTTTATTTGAATAGTCCATAGCAGATTTCCGTAGTTCTTCCATCTTCTCTCTATTCCCACCAGCTTCAGAGTCCTCTGTGCTCTGCATTTGTTTCTCTTTTGCCCGATAGCAGCATGCGATCTGGCGATAGATGTAGGCATTGTTGGGCAAGGATTCCAACACCTTTTGAAACAGTTCAATTGCTTTGTCTAGATCACCTTTTCTTTGGTAAAATTTGGCTGCACTGCGGAGGACATCTGTTTGGCCAGGAGCTTTCTCCAAGGCCTCTTCTATCAACAGCCCCCCTTCAGCTTCTTGATTTATCTTTTGCAATTTCAGGCCCAAGAGAACTTTGACGTACTGATTGTCGGGGTTGAGCTCAATGGCCTGCTTCAGAACACTGACACAGAACTGCTTCGGTGGTTTATCATCCAGACGGTACATGGCGATTGCCAGCCCCGTGGAGAATTCTGGGTTGTTGGGTTTCTCTTCTAGAGCTTTCTCAAAACACGCCTTCACCCTTTCATTTCGCTTTGCTCCGCACTGTAGCAGGGTCCACCCTTCCTCAGAGTCAAGCTCAGGACACTCAATGCTGTAAGGATTTGAAAACTTCTCACACACTTGTTTCACCTTGTCTACGTAGACTTGAGCTTCTGAGAGTCTGTCCATGTGATAGTAGACCCAGGCATAGTTGCCCCAGGTGACCAGGCTTCGGATTTCTGCTTGGTCAGGGTACTGCTGCTGGATTAACTCTTCAGCTTGCCGCAAGCATTCCAGCGCCTCCTCGTTCTGACCATCTAGGTGTTTTATGTAGGCCAGCAAGTTGTACATTGTAGCTTTGAACTCAGTGTTTAAAAATTCAATCTGGTTACACACTCTATTTTCTAGATCATGGGAGACACTTTCTTCCTTAAGTAATTTCCATGTGAAATGGCATTTCAGCTGTGGAAGGATTTTCTCCAGAGAGTTCTTGTTGACCTCACTGTGGAGAAAATAAACATGGTCACTCTGAGGTGTACCTGCCAAACATCGCACCGTGGGTGCAATCACAGGTTAATTGTGTGGGTCAACTTGACTGGGCCATGGGATGCCCAGACTTTTAGTTAAACATCAGTTCTGGGCGTATCTGTGTTCCCAGAAGAGCCTAGGATTTGTGCCAGTGGACTGAGTACAGTGGATTGCCCTCCACAATATCCAATCTATTGTAGGGCCTGGGGGGGAAGGGGGAAGGGGACGGAGGAAGGGTGAATTTGCTCTCTCTGGTTGAGCTGGAACATCCCCTCAGGCTGGGACTTATACCACTGGCTTTTCTGTGTCTGCAGCTTGCAGACAGTGAATCAAGGATGTCTCAGCCTCCATAATCATGTGAGCCAATTCCTCATAATCTCTCTCTCTCCCTCTCTAGCTTATTTACATATATATGTACAGGGTGGGGCAAAAGTAGGTTGATAGTTGTTCCTATGGAAAATAATACAATAACTGATAAAGAATAATATAAGAAAAAACCGTGTTTCACGTACTCACTGTCAACCTACTTTTGCCCAACCCTGTATACACACATATGTATACATATCTATGTATGTATGTATACCAGCATAGGTGAGAATCTTTATTTAAAAAAAATTCAGAGCAGTATTTTAAAAGGCAGGTAAAAAAAATATGAATATTTACAAATTAGGTAGAAATAATACAAAAGAGGTTTAAAATTCTCAAAGAGGAAAAGCAAAACATCCAATTGTATAAAGCCTCTTCCCTTGCAAGAAATTCACATAAAGATGAAGATCCAGTTTGGTTTCTCAGCTGAAAGTGTACAAAATAACTTAGAAATAACTTGAGGTCAGAGGCTGCGAGCCCAGTACTTGTACCTGCCTGCTTTTGATCTAAGGAAAGTTGATGACCACAGTGCCAGGCAGAGCTGATGGTAGAACAGCCAAGAGTTCTCCGTCCTCCATTCACCTTCAAGTGCAAGCTGAAGAAAGACAAGCCTTCAGTGAAGGCTGGGTTCTGCAGTTGCCTGACTGAATTTTCTCCATTGTGGTGCTCAAAATACTTTACTTCTTGGCCAGCAAAACATGGAAGAGCCTGGAACAACCGTTAGCAAATGCTTGCTTCCTCTTCCCAGCTTTTGGGGGTTGGGCCTGTCATCAACCTGCAGCTTATCTATGTGTCTCTCATGGGTTCTGTTTTTCTGGAGAACTCTGACTATACACACCCCTAAGTTTTCCCAGACAGAAGAGCAGGTACTTTCCTCTTGCTTCCTGGACTCACCTTTCTGTAGCTGTGGTCTGTGTAAAAACCCACAAAGCATATCCCTGCCACCATGTGAATAGACATGCAGGAGGCGGGGTGAGGTGATGAGACGCGAAACCTATGGTGAGAGGAACTGGGATCTCTCTTGTGCTGCTCAGTCACTAAGTCAGGGCTCAGTCCTCACACATTCTGAGGAGAGAGTTTTATTTAGCCATCCATTGACCTTCTATAGGGCTCCTTTTTTGTGTCACTTGGTGAGCTTTGGGGAATACTAGGAAAAATAAAGGTTATCCTGGCTGTCTCTGCCCCTAGGAGCTCACCGTCAGGTTAGAAGGAGCCATGAAAAGAATGAAAACCCATGTTTGCCACCATGCTGTGTGATTTAGTCTTTTCTCTTCATCTTCTCCACCACCACACAGGACCCATGAAAGCTGGGTTTCAGTCTCCCCGACAGCCCAGATCCCAGAGAGAGTGAATTTAAGTACATGAAATGCTCTGCTTTTTTCACCTTCAAATTTTCATTATATATCTGTTATTTGTTCATTGACATATGTACATGTTCCTATGTAATTCACATTTAGGATAACATTAACATATTTAACTGAGTAGATACAAATAAAACATTTGAAGATAATTCTGATTTAATTAAAATACGATTGCCTTTCTAAAAACCAATACTCCATTTGCCAAGTTTTCCTCGCTTATAATTTCTATCATGTGTGCTTGAAAGTGGCTCTAAATACTCTTTATATGTATATGTATAAAATTCAGTAAGTTACTGAACAATAATTAAATCAAACATTTGAAGGGAGGACAAGCAAGCAGGTGGAATGATGGCTGCAGTAACTTTAGGAAGAGAATGTCTCTTCAGGTGAAACATGGAGTTGAATGCCCTTCCCTCCTGGAGACTATGTGTCTAGTAGAAAACATTGGGGAGCGGGAGTCCCTCTGGTCCAGGAAGAGATTTCTCATGGCCTCCAACGGCAGCCTTGAGGTTTCCCTGACCAAAGCAGATAAAAGCAGCACTGCCACTCCTTAGGAAACACCCAGAACCAGCCCGTTTACAGTCTTTCCTCCTTCTCCTGCTCCCCTACCTGGATTGACCTTCTACAGGGCTACCTTTTTGTGTCACTTGGTGAGCTTTGGGGCGCTGCCCACAGACCCCAGCGAAGACGCCTCACCTCCTTCCAGGGCCTGGTGAAAGCCATTACTAGACTAGAATCTTGAAAGTTCCTGAAAGAGGCCCTGACTAAATGGTAAGAGGAGGAGTTTCCAGAGAAACCTCCAAGGCAGCTTGTACAGGGACTGATGCTGTGAAGGGACAGACAGAACTCATGGCCAGTTGTTTGGTCAGAACAGACACAACCCGAGGAGCCCATTTCTTCAAAAAGTGAGCCAAGGAACTGTCCGTAGCAGGGCTGCTCGCACTTTCCCATGCACATGGACCACATCACCCGAGGACCTGGCTGAAATGCACTGCTGAGCTCAGCAGGTCCAGGATGCCGCCTTTATAACCTCCTCTCAGCAGGTGCTGGATTCAGACCACACGGTGAGTAGCAAGGGCCTAACCACTTTTTGGAAGTGATTTCCAATCACCAGTTTCTCATCCCTAAAAGCGCCCTTAAACAGGCAAGCCTTGCTTTATAGGAACATCCTTCCCACACCCCCACTGGCCACCCACTTTGGGCTTCCTCCACTCCCATTTACACACATACTCGGCAGGGAGCATTGAGTGTCTAGGAAGTACCTGTGGTCCTCTTTAAATATGTATTCTGCCAAAAGCGGTTTGGCTCAGTGGATAGAGCGTTGGCCTGCGGACTGAAAGGTCCCAGGTTCGATTCTGGTCAAGGGCATGTACCTGGGTTGCGGGCACATCCCCAGTAGGAGATGTGCAGGAGGCAGCTGATCGATGTTTCTCTCTCATTGATGTTTCTAACTATCTCTCTCCCTTTCTCTCTGTAAAAAAATCAATAAAATATATTTTAAAAATAAATAAATAAATATGTATTCTGTCCCCCCTTCCCTCTCCCCAGGCTTTAAGTCTGATTAGGACTTCAGAATGCAGGGCCCAGTAATTTGCATTCTAATAGAGCACTCTGCTTTATCATATCCGCCAGCTGCAACACAGCTTGAAACTACAACACTCTCTCCCTGCTCACAGAGGCGGTCTGGCAGGTCGCTAAGAAGACACATTCCTCAATTCTGAAAGAGCCAATGGTAAGGTAGAAGCGACCTCATTCTAGATTGCAGTTTTGCAGCTCTGAATTAGTCATTAGCACATTTGCTGAGAAGCAAGCATACTTTAAAAATCACCACCACCACCACCACCACCACAGAGCTCACAAACCGCTGGCTTAGTCTGACAAAATCTAAGACACAAAAGAGGGACCAGGACCTCCGCTGTCCCTCCCCGTTGCCCAGATTTTGCCTGGAAGGAGCGGAGCAGGTTAGCCCTCAGGCTCTCTCCAGAAACTCCAGTCCTTGCCCTGCTGCAGCCGCCAGCGCTCCTGCGAGCACCTTCTTCCGTGTCCTTAGGCTGCCGGACTCAGTAAACAGACAGAGCGACAGAAATAAAAATGCAGGAATTGGTCAGAGAGGTTCATGACCAAGTTAAGAGCAACGCATCTGTAATCTATAAGCACACACCGATTCAGGAGGATTCTGGGAGTTGCCCGCCAGAACAAGGTTTGTAAGAAATGCTCTCCACTTGCTAGCAGAGAAGCCAGGCATCGTTACCTCATGATGGCTGTGTCCCTGGATTCTGAGAAGCTGGGGTCCAGGCTGATGTTCTGTTCTGCTGGTGGATAGCAAGCGAGTGCCGATGAGGTTTCCAAGCCCTGGCTCTGGCCCTTAGGTCTGTGCTTTTATGGAGAGGAAATGGAAACTGAAACTGATGCGATGCCGTCAGGATTCCTGGTGAGGGGAAATGAAACTAAGGTCTGAGCGCTCATTAAAACTTTGGGGTCCCCCCCCCCCCC